GAGAAATGAAAGAAAATAACCCTAAGATACACAAGAATTGTTCAAAAAAGACAATCTTTGAACATAAAACTTAAAACTCACCAACTGAGCAAGCTCAACCTTTTGCTCCAGTAACCGCAGCTCTGTCTGTTTAGCACGTCTTTCTTCAAACAGTTCTCGCCTTTCGTTTTCAACTTGTTTTCTTTCTTCCTCTGCCTGCACTTCAAGTTTTTGTTCAATTTCTTGTCGTCTCTTTTGCTAAGATAAAGAAAGAAGAATCTTATATTTTTTTGTAAATCAGGAAAGTGTTCTAGTTTGGTCCAATTAAAATTTTGAATTATTTACACTATTAAAGGCATTCCTAAAAACACATTAAGAAATATCTCGTGAGTTTCAGGTAATGAAAGAAAAGAGTGTCATTGCTTGCTGGCACCTAATTTTTTGTAGGTTAGCTATAAAATTATAGGCCCCTGTGGCTTTCTGTCTGCTTTTCTATCATTCAATTTGGATTTGAATTTTCAATACAAACTTCAACATGTTTGAATTTCTTATTTATTTTTTTTGTCAGAGTGAGGTTGATGGTTGGACTAGATGATCTTTAAGGTCCCTTCCAACCTAGACAATTCTATGATTCTATGTTTTGTTTCCCGCAACAGCCAAAAAAAAAGAAAAAAACCAAAGAAATAGATTTCAGGTATTCCACTTGGAGGAAAAAGAAGTCAACGTCCCCAGAGGCAAATTAAGGACTGCAGACTGGCATTTGTGACCAACAAAACCAATTACATTCCGAATAATTCCAGCACAGTACTTCCATACTTCATCACTAATTAGATATATTACTGCAATCCAGAAATGCCCTGTTTGTATGTCCTAGACAGCAATATGCTTCGATTGTACAATAGTTGTCTGTTAAAAAAAATACAATTTACTGCCTGGACAAAAAAAATAGCTGCGTCATAAAACTCCTTAGGCCTCTACTTTGATTTATAGTTTTATTTGTAAGAGAAATTTTTATGTATGAAGTTTGATGTTTGAGGAGAACAATGTCTATGCAAATTCTCAGGAAAACGTTGCAAAGAGCAGTAACTCCTCAAACTCTCTTAAATGCAAGCACATACTAATATAAATTAGACAGGGAGTCCATTTTTCTAGACCACCCTAATCAATAGTTTCTTGTTCTAAAAGCAAGCAGGCAACAGAGAACTTTGGTCCTCTCTCATGTCCTACATGACAGGTTAGATAAAACAGCAGGATATCCAAATACTGAACCTGCAATCAATACCAACACTGGAAGCCAGCTGCGCTAACGCTACACAGAAAAGGCTTTAAGTTTAAAGAATTTGTATCTGCTTCTACCAGACTGCTGAAAGCAGAACTTTCAAACACCATAATCTAAAGATTGTTAGAATTAACTGAATAACCCATTTAGGGCAACAGCAAACAAACACCATACCCTCCACTATTTCTAAGGGCATATTAAGAATAACGTTACCACCATCCCATATACAAGTTTTTTTGAAGTTACCACTGAACTATGCAAAGCCTCCACTTCAGTACAATCACAGATCCATTTACTAAAAACAGGAATTCTTGATTTCTATACCGGGCGGGGGAAGCTCTCTGTAGTCAAACAGATAGCATAATACAACCATACATTTCTATATACTGGGTTATGATTTAAACATCTGGAACACATCAGGATGGGCATTGCTCAGCAATACTGCATCCCCACTATTTACAGAAGCAGCCTGTGACCTATTAAATAGTTACCTGATTAAATTCCATTTACTTTGAAATAATCTCCCAAAAATGTAACCAAGAAAAAAAAGAAACTATTTTGTGTTTTACATGTTTTGAAGTTGTACAGCAATTAAAAAAACAATCAACAAAACGCTGCCTCTTCCCTTCTGCAATGGTCAGAAATAGTGTTGTAAAGTCGTGAAATTGGTAGAGTCCCTTTCCTGCCTCCCACCCCGATTCCACTAACCCAAACCAAACAAAAACCTACTTGCACTCTTACCCATTTGTTGCACCTGCAACCTACACTGTGGGGAATTTTCATTCCTATTTGAAGCAGCTTAACCACACAACTTTGCTTTATTATTTACAGTTTTATAGAACTAAAAATAAGTACCCTCTCAGTAGCAACTGTGGACTCCTGCTTAAATTTCTGAAGTGTGCCCATCAACAAGCCAAATATACGTCGATTCCTGAATAAAAACAAAAAAAAAGAAGGTTGAGATTCAGTCCACAATTTTTATTTGCATAAACAATCAGAGAAACTTTCCACCTCAGAGATGTTTATTTTTAAAGGCTCAGTATTACTCAAGGCCATTAGCAACAGAACACATGTTGACTGTGCCAACAGTTCAAGGATATAATTTACAGTGACACAGTTTTATAGAACTAAAAATAAGTACCCTCTCAGTAGCAACTGTGGACTCCTGCTTAAATTTCTGAAGTGTGCCCATCAACAAGCCAAATATACGTCGATTCCTGAATAAAAACAAAAAAAAAGAAGGTTGAGATTCAGTCCACAATTTTTATTTGCATAAACAATCAGAGAAACTTTCCACCTCAGAGATGTTTATTTTTAAAGGCTCAGTATTACTCAAGGCCATTAGCAACAGAACACATGTTGACTGTGCCAACAGTTCAAGGATATAATTTACAGTGACATATCATATTCTGTTTAAGAGTAAGACACAGCTCTTTCCATAATATGGCACAGTTAGCACTGGGAAAATTGGAAGCCTGCACATTTTACATCTGGAAATAATGACACACAGGCAATATTAAAAAAAAAATAAATTCAAAAGCAGAGTGTACTGAAGAAAAGGTTGATTAAATACAGTGTGAGGTATCAATAAGGAACTGGAAGGTCATTTGTCTTTCTGAAAAACATACTCCCCTTCGTGCCCAGCTCGGGGGATTAAGGAGAAATGGAGCCACAGGGGAGTGAAAGCTTATCTGTCACAGTTTGCATAACACTATCTTCTACAATGAGGCATTGCACTGTGGGATGAAACCAGAATTGCTCTCATCCAATTAAGTGTTGAGAAAACTTAAATAAGTAAAATTCTTTAAGGAATTCCTTTCTTCTGAACAAGAGCTAATTTCTTGAATTTCACCTTTTCTTTCTTTCCATTTAATCCCAAATTAAGCCTTTACAGCAAGAGGTAGATTCTCTTATCTTGGACTTGAGAGAAAAGAGAGAAAAGAAATACTACTCTCTTCACTCAGTACCACTCTACTACAGTGGTACAAACCTGATATGGAAAGGTAAAGGCACTTGTATATTAAACAGCAGAAAGAGGAACAAATAAAGAATTGAGAGCTAGAGATTCCTCAAAGTGTATTTGTATATGAATGACATCCCAGAAGACATGGAGCAAAATCAAGAATTCAATGGATGCTGTCCTCTGACAGAGCCTCTTTCTGTCACAAGTCCCAGAGATCAATACGCGTTTTCTCATCTCCCCAGAAGACTACTGAAGTGTAAAACAATTCTGAGGAAACAAACTTTTGGTGACTGAAGCTCTAGGAAATCCACTAAGAATTCTGGAAATCCTTCTGTGAGGAAAGCAGTTGGAAACCAGTGATGAAAGCAACGGCAACTTGTTAGTGGTGCTGTAAAAGCAAGCAAAGTGCCTTTCCTGTGCTAAATTATCTGTGCTCCTTATTAGAGACACTCGTTATAGTTCCTTATTCCAGCTCACATTCTTCTACTTATTTGAGGTATGGAGTGTTATTGCACTCGGGAAGCTGCAGACTGCAAGGAATGGAGTCCAAGAGGCTGGACACAGTTGCAAATTTGCTTTACCAACACCTCTTTCCAACAGAGCTGCATTTCAGCAAGAATTTTTATAAGTTACCCTGACAAATAAAATACAGGAAAAAGGAGATAAACAGAGGAGGAATCTAAAAAGAAGCAGGCAAAAGGAAGGCCTGACTGTACATACAATAATAAGCCCAGAAGTAGTATGAGAAAAGAAACACGATGGAACTGCTGCAATAAAAAAAAAGGAAAAACCCACAGCCAAAAGCCTCCTTCAGCCGACAAAATAAGTGATGTACCAAGACAGTTGTAACAGTCCAAACTGTTAAATAACCAAGTGATGTATCTGTCTGACTCAAAGATCATCAGTAACAATAGCACTAGCAAATCTATTCCTGTAGGTGGCCTGAGAAGCAAAACCCCTCTCAGTTACATGAAACGAATGATGTGTTGTTACTACTGAGAAGTATTTTGAGAGAATATGTTTTAAATAAATTTTATAACATTATGGTACCTCTTCAACATCAGCTTTGTTACGTAATAGCACCTGTGTAATACTTTTAAAATCTGAAGCTACTTCCTATCCCAGCACTCAGAAGTACCGTGCTAGTGCTTAAAAAGACATTTCTGCATACCTTTGTTTTCCTTTCTCATCCATATTTTGATCTTGTATAAGGTCTCGACGTGTTCGCTCTTTGGAGGTAGCCACAACAGAAGATGGCAAAGTTGGCTAAAACAAAGAAAAACAAACTACTTGGTTCATGTTCCAGATAAGCAAGTTTCTTTCTGCACAGCTCCATTTATCATGTATTACCTTTTTAATATCATCATCCTCTCCATCGCTTTCTTGGCGTGATTCTCTTCTTGTCCGACGTTCTCCGCCCAGCCTGAGGAAGAAAAAGCATTAGTGGTCACTAGAGAAGACATATTTAGGACAGCATCTGTTCTAACATGAGAAAAATACAGGTCTGCATATCTAGTCAGAAGAACCAGGTCTGCATATCTAGTCAGAAGAACCAAAGCTTACAGTAAAAATCTCCCCACTGTTCCAATGATCAGCAAGTAGCATTTTACAGATAGAACCTACTGCTGGTAAAAATCAGTGAGAGAAAACAGTTTAAGTTTTAATACAACTTGAACTGTAAAGTAAAAGAGAAGAGCCCACATTACTACTGTATTTGGCTTTTTTAGAGTACCTTTGGAATTTATTTTTGTTTTAATGTTTGCACTTTTCTTTTTCCAGAATCTCTGAAATGGCTACCCGTATGAAGGGATTGCAAGACCGATTTAAATGCATGAAGATACAAACATTGGTGCGATTTTTCAAACAGGAAATGTTATTTAAGCCAAATACCAAGAAAACAGGTGAGAGGGGACAGAGCGCTTAGGACCCGAGAACTTGGATGAACTGAGGCTTTAACAAAGAGTAACCAGACAGTGTGTTACATAAAAGTTATTTTCAGCTTTCACTCTCAGCTTTGCGGTACAGCCCTTTGCTACCAGTAAAGTCATTTGACAGTATTCATTTTGTGTTAACTCAAAAATTCAAAAGCAAGCCTTGCTTTAGTCAAGAAATACCACTGCACGTAAGTGCCCATAGAACGAAGCTCACTGTAATCAGTCTCATCTGACAGAGCTGCATCCAAATGCGACAGCTCAAAATCTGAGTCTGTTGTCACACTGTGCACATTCAATTTATTGAACAGGAGGTCTCAGTTATAATTCAGTTTGTGTCTCCTGTAAAAAAAACTCGGTGCTACTAAGCAGAATATAATACAGCAGATTGTACACCAAGCAAAACAGAAAATTCCAAGAACCTTCATATTGCTCTATCTTTATATTATTGCTATAAAGTATAGAAGAAAAAAAAAATATTTCACCACAGTCAATTGCTATCATCCAAATATATTTCCAAGAAATCTTGAATATGTAATCTCTGAAGAAGACAGTGAAAGTCATCAGTTATTAACAGTTATTGAATCTAAGCTTTTTAAATTCAATACTATCAGTTCTCATTCAGATAAAGCAAGCTCTCTGCACCAGTTTTTGCACCCACCTACTGGATGCCCCTTCAAGATCCCTCTGTTTGGCTGGGGGTCCTCCTCCACTATCCGAGAATCCACGCCTAAAAAGAAAACACTTGTGATCTCAGAACAAGTTAAGCTAACCCCAGGTCCACCTTAAACTTGCACAATCAAACTGGATTTTGGCTTTGTGGTCATGATCTAACAATAAATTTTCCTCAGCTCTATCATCATTTACTGTTACTAGTCCAATAAAATCATTAAACATACTGCTTGTGGACCAACTAATTTAAGCTTGAATTTCTGCACTTATTTGATTGACCAGCTACACTAAATCAAGCAGCCCCAATATGTTCAAGTGTTCATATTTGCAGTAGCTTTCAACATGCATTAAGTATTAACCAGCAGTTTAACATTGAAATTCAACAAAATATCCACTATAAGTGTAAATAGGAACCACTGAACAAAAGTGGACATTTTCATTCTACGTGGGGAAGGGAGAAAAAGGAGAAGAAAAAAAAAAGGGGAAAAAAAGGCAAACCCACAAGAAAACATTACAGGTTTAAGCTACATTTGCTTTAAAATTCTTGTCAGCTTCAACTTCCTGAAAGAGCTACCAGCTTCTTAATTACCAAAAGATGGATTTTGAATGATTTGACAAGGTCCCGGATACCACGTAACACCTCCCTTAACTTTGACGCTTCCCCTGATTTTTCAGGCTGATGGCTGAAAGGACGAGGGAAACCCGCCAGTTTAAACTTGCTCTAACCCACACCCAGAAGGTCCTTTACGTTTCAGGCAGCGCTACAAAACCCCACGTGCCCCGTAGGCCAGGCTCCGGTGCCTGCCAACCGAAACAGCGGCACAAGGGGACGAGAAACACCAACACAGCCCGGTGCAAGGCCGGCAAACCGATGCCCCGGGTACAGGGGTGGGACAACCCCCCCCCCGCCGGCGGGGGGGCAGCTCCTTACCTCAGCAATAAGCTCCCGCGCCCTCTACCTCCACCAGGGCCTGAGAGGGCTAGCAGTCTGTTTTGGGGGGGCCTGCAAGAGACAGCGGGCACCGTTAGCGCTACCTGCCCCGGTCCCCCCCGGCTGGGCTGCCCGCGGTCACGACCATTCTCTCACCCACCCCCACGGTTGCGTTCCGCCCCCCCCACGACGGGCACACCGGAGGGACCGGGGAAGGGCGCGACGGCCTCTCCCCTCCCCTTCATACGCCGCCGCTGCCACAGGGGACACGCCTGCTCCCCTCGCTCCGGCCTGGCCCGCTCCTCACGCATCCCTCAATCCCCCCCACCAGCCCCGGGCCGTTCCCCCCACCGCACCTCACATCGTTGGGGTCCCGCCCCGTGAGCTTGCGGATGTTCTCGTCCACGTGCTTGAGGCTCTCTTTGGCCTTCTCCAGCTGCTCCTGCAGCGCGCGCACCGCCACCGCCATCCCGCCCGCAGCGCGGCCTAGCCGGGGCCCAGCGCAAGGCACCGCTGGGTAACGGGCGGGGGGGAGGGAAGAGGGCCCCGCCTACCACGCCGGCAGCCGCGGGCCGGGAGGGCGCAGCCAATAGCCTCTCAGTGGTCCCCTCCGACCGCCAATAATCGGCCACTTGAGGAAAGGGCACACCCCGCCGGGATGGCGCCCGCTAATCATCAGGGCACGCAGGCAGATTGGCATCCTGGCTGGCCAATTAGCCGGAGACTCGGCCACCCCAGCCCTGCGAATCAACCGGAGGATTGACATCGCTCAGAGCTAATGAGAACTCAAGGCATCGTTTTCCGGCAGCCCAATCAGAAAGCCACGCCGAGGACGTTTATCCCCACCCACCCGGGGACACATCCTAACTTCCCCACTCTCTGTGGGGCCCGCACGCCGCCGGCTGAGGCGAGGGCCAATCACCGTTCCTCTACGGAGGCCGCCGCGCCGTGCCAGCCAATAGGCGCGGGCGTTACTGAGGGCTGGCGCGGGCCGCTGAATGGCCGCGGGGCCCGGCGGTGCCTGGCGGCCGCCCGTCACTCGGAGCCGGGTGGGCTGTGCCGTGCCCCGCCAGCCGGCTCCCCCTGTGGCGGCTGTGAAACGCCGTTAACGGGACGTTATTCCTGCCGCCGGTGAGGCGTTTAGCTGCGGCTCCGCCTCACCGGGGCGGGCGGTGCCGTTCCTGTAGAGAGGTGGGGGTGAACCGGGCGCGGAACCCGGCGCCGCCTCACAGCGGCAGGGGGTAGCGAGTGAACGAGCGACCTCCCGGAGGCGATAAAACACCCCCCATCCCTCCACCCTCCCATTTCAACCCCCAGCAGTGCGGGGGGTGCAGCTCCCCAGCTCCGGCCCCCCTTCACTTCGCGCCATGGCCCGAGGCAGCGGGCTCTGGAAGTGAAAGGCCCGCCTCAGGAGAGGCTGCCGCCCGCGGGAGGCCTTCCCCAGGCGGCGGCGGGGCGGGAACGCTGAGAAGGGTTCGCCGGCGAGGAGAACCAGTCAGGCCGGCGCTCCGCCTCGCCCGGGAGCATCAGCTGCTGACCGGGGGCCGGAAGAGGCGGTGCGGCGGCGGCGGCGGCGGCGGGGCCCGGCGGTGCCGGGCGGGTGGTATCCCCGCGGCGGGGCGGAGATGGCGGACGAGGCGCTCTTCTTGCTGCTGCACAACGAGATGGTGGCGGGGCTGTACCGCGCCGCCGAGCAGGGCGAAGGGGTGAGTGAGTGGGGCCGGGGCCGCCCTGGGACGGGGGGGACCAGGCGGGGGGGGAAGGCAGCCCGGTAGCGGCGGGGTGTAAAGCAGCAGCGGCGCCCTGTGTCTTGCAGGAGAACGGCCGGTGCACCACCAAGCTGGAGAGCATGGGCTTCCGTGTCGGGCAGGGGCTCATCGAGAGGTGAGTCCCCCGACCCCTCTGCCCGCTCCCGGGACTGGCGGGCCTTGCTCCTCCTCGGGGGTTTTCCCCCTCTCTGCCCGGCCAGGGCCCACGACCCCTCCTTCCCGGGGCCGGGGGGCGTTCGGCCGCTGGGTGGGAAGCTGGCCGCTGCTTTGGGTGGACAGAGGGTTACGCTGCGGATGTGTTTCTCTTACTGACCGTGCTGGCATCCTCCTTTTCTTGCGGGGACCCCCGTTTGAATACCACTGGACAGTTTTGGAGTATGTATTTTGCCAGTGATTTCCGTCATGACAACCGAGTCAGGGTATATGGTTACTTTTAATACTTAAAATCCTTTTAGTTGTGCCTTTTTTAGACCTGCTTTTGCATGTTTTCTACTTTTGGTACGTTTCATGATTTTCTTCTCCTTCAAATTTCTTTCTTAAACGTAATTTTATGGTTGGTTACTCTATTTCATTTTTCTGAAGCACTCTCAGTCCTTGGAACTTCGCGACAGAGCACGTTTCTTCCTTGTTTCCCCGGGCCCTTTGGGAGTGCAGAATGACTTGCTGCACATCCAACTTCAGTGCCCTTGTTCTGAGGTCGTGTGGACACTCTTGGGCTTCTGAACAACTTCACGCTTTCCTTGAACAAAGTGGTGCTGTAGTGCCAGATAGAGACCCTCAAGGAGGATAAAGAGCGAGAATTCTGAAATAAGCACAAGAAAGAGGTCCCTTTTTGGGAAATGGGAACAAGTTTCACATGTTTGTTCCTATATGTTAGTGCTTTTTTGTGTATTTAAAGGACTCCTTCCAAGCAGTTGTATAGGTGTGAGCTTTTTGTTTATCTTCTCCTTAGACATTTAGTTGAAGATAAAACTGATGGAGTGCTTGGCATCTTTTTGTACTTCAACTGTCTTTAATAATCATATAGTTAAAACTATTTATTCTGTTGTCACGTTGCAGGTATTAAGATAACACTGTGTTGGTCTTAAGTTAAAATACTTGATGAATGCAGAGTGATGCTAGAATGATACTGTACAATGGTTGGAAAACTAATTTCTCTAACGGCCTCAAAAATAATGTTGCATAGTACCATTATTTTGTTTTTTCTTTTTCTCTTTAATTGGTCAAGTTGTGTGTACCTTCGTTATTGATATATTTCTCACTTATCTCTTAGGTTCACAAAAGATACTGCCAGGTTCAAGGATGAATTAGATATTATGAAGTTCATTTGCAAAGATTTTTGGACAACTGTATTCAAAAAACAAATAGATAACCTAAGGACTAATCATCAGGTATTAATGCTGTAGAATAAGATTTCACTTACAAAATCAGTAACAGTTGTGAGTTACTAGTGCATTTTTTGTTTTTCTTGGACTAGAATTAATTACCTGATAAGAAACCCAAAATGTTCTTTATTTGTTTTGTTTAAAAAACAGAATTTTAAGGTTCATGTTGGCCTGTAGCTTCAGAATACAATTTAATAATTGCTTGTGATGTCTTTATTGCCACCCTGTTTGAATGTGCTGTTGCAGAGTTAGAAACTGACAGAACAGTAACAGTTACAGTTAACACTTGACGGGAACTTTTTTATGTATCTCCCAATAAATTTTTGTAGAAAACTAGTGTGAGAAAGTGATATTGCTGGTGCAACATCTATTTAAATAGAATGGCTCCTTTGAAGTATTTTTTATTTTGGAGAATTTTTACAGTTTTCAGCAGTTGAAAGCCTTAGTTGGATTTTATTGAATGTACTTGTATAAGGATCTGAAAAACTTCTCAAATTTGCATGTTGATATCTGTGTCCTTTCCTGTATCAACAGCCACTGTTCTTAAAGCAAGATCAAAATAATTTAAGGACCCGTTTTACTAGAATAAAAAATCTTTTTGCTTTTGGATGACTTGGTTTCTTATGGCCGTTTTCCTGTTGTATCAGAGTTGGAACAAGAGAATTTGTACAAGGATTGTGCCAAATAAAATATGTTTTATTTTTCACTGATCTGTTTATCAAGAAATAACTTTAATAAGTGATATTGCTGGTGCAACATCTATTTAAATAGAATGGCTCCTTTGAAGTACTTTTTTTTATTTTGGAGGATTTTTATAGTTTTCAGCAGTTGAAAGCCTTAGTTGGATTTTATTGAATGTACTTGTATAAGAATCTGAAAAACTTCTCAAATTTGCATGTTGATATCTATGTCCTTGCCTGTATCAACAGCCACTGTTCTTAAAGATCAAAATAATTTAAGGGTCCATTTTACTAGAATAAAAAATCTTTTTGCTTTTGGATGACTTGGTTTCTTATGGCCGTTTTCCTGTTGTATCAGAGTTGGAACAAGAGAATTTGTACAAGGATTGTGCCAAATAAAATATGTTTTATTTTTCACTGATCTGTTTATCAAGAAATAACTTTAATAGATAATAATTACCTTTGAAATATGTTTTTTAATTCAAAGGAAGCTGCTGTATTGAGCTTAGATCTTAGTTGTATACGCAGCCTTAATTTCATTTCAAGGGCTATGAAGTTCCAAAGTAGCACAGTCATTAGCAAAAAAGGTGTAGATGAAACTATACTGTATTCATTTTTAATTTATTAAAATGCATATTGTGGCACAAAATTGTAATGTAGGAAACACTAGACTTTTAATTTGATCATTTGCTGGGTGTTGTTGCCTGTATCACTCTCAAAGAAGATAGTTCTCCCAAAATTTGAGAATAAGAATAGTGAATTGAATACCAAATGAAGATTTAAAATTTGAATGTAAAAAATCAGCATGCATTTGATATCTGTTTATCAAGAAATAACTTTAATAGATAATAATTACCTTTGAAATATGTTTTTTAATTCAAAGGAAGCTGCTGTATTGAGCTTAGATCTTAGTTGTATACGCAGCCTTAATTTCATTTCAAGGGCTATGAAGTTCCAAAGTAGCACAGTCATTAGCAAAAAAGGTGTAGATGAAACTATACTGTATTCATTTTTAATTTATTAAAATGCATATTGTGGCACAAAATTGTAATGTAGGAAACACTAGACTTTTAATTTGATCATTTGCTGGGTGTTGTTGCCTGTATCACTCTCAAAGAAGATAGTTCTCCCAAAATTTGAGAATAAGAATAGTGAATTGAATACCAAATGAAGATTTAAAATTTGAATGTAAAAAATCAGCATGCATTTGATATATTAAAAAAGACTTTCTAATATGGAACTGTTGTTTCTGAGCACTGGAAGGACTCTTCCAAGAAGAATGTAAATAAACGTTCTTTAGGAATAACTGCTAATATTATCTTGGGGTTTTGTCATAAACTCACAATTAAGTATCTTTTATTTTGATATTTCATGTAAGTAAATAATACAGTTTAAAATTAAATCACATATGCCTTAATCTAAAGTTTCATTTTTCAACCTGAGAACGTTTGTATCTACAAGCCAAATCCCTGCATGTAAAATGTTGATTACATGTTATTGCATATTCAACTAAAAAAACCCTTTTTTGTCATTTTCAAACAGGGTATTTATGTCCTTCAAGACAATAAATTTCGTCTCTTGACACAAATGTCTGCAGGAAAGCAGTATTTAGAACATGCACCAAAGGTACCCTTTAGTTTTATTCTTGGGATCTACCAGTTTGGTTTGAATTATCTTGATCTATTAATAACAACTTTAAAATTTGTAATTGAATGAATACAAACTCTTCAAAAGGGCAGTTAAAGTTTAGTCTCTTAAACGTGTGCTTCTTAGAAATGCACCATGTTTCAGAACAGTGGATTTGATTTATGGTTCCAGAAACGGCCATAGTTGTTGTGAAACTTGCTGCTGTTGTGTTGGGGTTACTGGATGGTAGGAGCTGCTCTGCCACCATCGCACAAATTCTTTTGCTTTGGAAAGCACGTGCTTTCAGAAGCTTTTTTAAAATTTCAGAAACACATTTGGAAGTTACTGTTTGTTACCTAGAACAAGCTTCTGAGATTACACAAACATTCAGAAAGATCTTCCACCAATTAAAAATAGTTTTGAGTGTAGATACTGAGTTACAGTATGTAAAATCAGTGCCTCTGCAAAAGCTCTTATAAAGCACTTGGGTTCAGGTGGATGTAAGAAATGGGGCATTCAGTTCCATTTTATGGTCTCTTAATTCTTGATGATCTTAGTTATTGCAATTGCAGGCTACTGTTCTTCAGATTTTTTTATGTTTGGTGAGACGTTTCTTCTGTTTTGCAACACTTACTCTAAATACCTGCAGGCCCTTGCATTCTAAGATGTGGCCTGTGTGAGAATGCTATTTTGGACTGTTTCTCTTTCATTGACTTAAATACCAACTGCTCGTTTCAGCCAAGTCTTGGGAATAATTGGTTTAAGGATATTAAGTTCCTACAGGTTGAACGGAAGTAGAAACAAGTAACTCAAGATAGTGCCTCTAACAAGAGAAATCTGTATTGTGAGCTCTGCTGTACCAAATACTGGAACTTTCATCTCTTAGAGACGTGAAGAAGTCTCTCAAGCACATGAACAAAACCTCCATAGTTTTATATTGTCCAAGTGTTAAGTCTTGTTCTAGAGTACTTAGTTTCAATCTTTAGTAACAAGCTTCACCCCTAACACTTGATTTAAAGTGCAACTTTATATTTAGTATTTAGCATTTACCTGTGGACTAATCAGAGGAGGCCTGTCGAATTTGGGAATAAAGAGTATTGTAACAGCTGAAGTTTCATCAATGCCAGCATGTAAGTAATTCTCAGAGTTATTCAGTTTTTAGCTCATTTGATCTCAGTATGAAAATCAGGCTATGGCTTGTCACTAAATACGTTAGTGTGTAGAAAAAAATTGGCAGAGGGTGAACCTCCATGTCATTGAGTGGAAAGCAAAACTAAAAAGTTTGATTTACATTTGGAAGCATCAAATGCATATGGGTGTACTTGCAGAAGGCTATTTGAACAAGGGAAGATCAAACCAGGTAGATACGTGCTCTTTCTCTAGGGCTAGAAGTCATTAAGTTTCTTAATAAGTGAAGTCAATGGTAACTACCCAAGCTGCTTAAGGTGGATTTAAAAATTTCCACAAACTTTGCACGAATCTTAAATTTAGCTGACAAGACTGTTGTGATGTGGGAACATGGATCAGCTTAAAGAAAAAAGAAAAGAAAAAGCTGTTATCTGGAGCTGAATTTAAATGCTAAATTTAAATAATGGCTAGGCTGTTCACAATTAAACTGTAAGATTGGAAAGTTCCTTAGTATTTCTCTTAACAAAATGATTACAAGAAAATAATTCCTTGGAACAACAAGGTCTAATGGTCATACTTTGATCTGACTTTGCTTTTTCTTGCAGGTAAATTTCAGGTGATGATACAGAAGATGTAGAGCACATTCAAATCTGGGTATCTACCTTAAAAAGTCTGTGGATTCATTATCTTGGTTCAGCTTTCTGTGTAGCTTGTAAATTATAGCAGTGTGCAGCACAATTCCAAAATATGTAATAAATGTTCATCAGAATAACACTATCCTTGCATCTTGGCATGAAATCTATTCTATACCAAGGTACTAATTCCACATGGTGAAAACTGTCTACTCAAAAGTTTTCGGGAAAATATTTTAATTACCAAACCAGCACATACGGAAGGCTAGAAGCGTGCTTTGAGGGCAGAGTAAAAGCCTGACCAAGACAAAATTGGAATAAGAAACTAACGTCGTTTGTGTCACCTGATGTGAATGCCCAATTCATTCTGAAGTGTGAGGCAGCAAGTGCTTTTGTATTATTCTGAGGAAGCCATGGGCACAGGAACCAACAGCCTTCAGTAACAGTGTGCAGTGGAGGGTTAGTTCCTTTGCAAGAATGATACGGAGCAGTGGAAAAGAGAACTTACTTAGATGTAGTTGAACACTTTCTCCTACCACCTGAAAATTAGCAGCTGGTTTTTGTGTCAGAATAATTTTATAGTGAAGATCATCTGTATTGGCCAAAGAAGGAAATTTGGCTTAGCTTGTTGTGCATAAACTTAACATTAATGAAATTGTTTTTAATTGCTAGCTACAGCTCACTTCTGTAATGAGTGTGTGCAGGAAGATGATTAGGCCTCCAAGAAGCTATAAAGACACCACCAGGACTCTTGAGGACATTGGGATATGGAGCAGTGGAAAAGAGAACTTACTTAGATGTAGTTGAACACTTTCTCCTACCACCTGAAAATTAGCAGCTGGTTTTTGTGTCAGAATAATTTTATAGTGAAGATCATCTGTATTGGCCAAAGAAGGAAATTTGGCTTAGCTTGTTGTGCATAAACTTAACATTAATGAAATTGTTTTTAATTGCTAGCTACGGCTCACTTCTGTAATGAGTGTGTGCAGGAAGATGATTAGGCCTCCAAGAAGCTATAAAGACACCACCAGGACTCTTGAGGACATTGGGGTTTGCTAGATACTGCTTGTTACAAGATTTGTGTAACAATACATATCTTGCTGTAGGTAAGCATGAAAACATCTTGTTAAGACTTTTAATTAATTTTATTGTTAAGACTTTTCTGTCGGCAGGTTCAGGCTTTATACTTTCCAATGAATCCTGAGAGAAATAGGTAAGCATGAAAACATCTTGTTAAAACTTTTAATTAATTAATTTAATTAATTTTGTTAATTTTGTTAAGACTTTTCTGTCGGCAGGTTCAAGCTTTATACTTTCCAATGAATCCTGAGAGAAACTTACAATGTTTATTCAGAAGAGTGAGAATGCCTTGTGACAGTGATTCAGTTTCTACTCTCAGACCAGTAAATAACAGGCTAACCAGAAAAGTTAACATGTTAAAATAGCACTTTTGATTGTCATAGCCACCTCCTGTGTTGGGAGAAGCGTATGTTCTCCAGCTGCATGGTGGCCAAGAACACTGGAAGCTGTTCTGCCCTAAGCTCTAGGGAAGGTCTGAAGTTTGTAATGGCTCAAGCTTCTTCTCCATAGCTGTTACAGGCTGGCAAGCTGTAATAATGCGATAACCAGGAGGTTATTGTGCTTGAGCTTAAGATGTGACCAAATTCTGATCTTTTTCAAGCACTGTGAATGCCAGTTCAGATCAGTCGTAGCTGAATAACTTGACAGTTCTAGGAAATGGTGTAGAGCAGGACTGTCCCACTGGTTATAGAACTAGCAAAGATGAAAGTAACTCCAGCGGTATGGTACTCGGCGGGGATCAGCTGTTTGACTGATGGAAAATGCTGCTTTCTTACACTAGTAGTTTATAGTAGGGCTGTGGTGGTTGTTCACCTTTATAACTGGGATTTGTCTGAAGTTGTAGGGCTAGAGAATTAGCTAGCGTTCTTGCGTTTCATAGGTTCTTCAGTTGCCAACTCATCCTGCTTTCAACATGCTGAAAATGTAACTAAAGAGAATAGAAGTAACTTGGACTGTGTGTCTATCAGATGGACATTCCAATGTCATTACATTTACAGGGCTGTGGTGGTTGTTCACCTTTATAACTGGGATTTGTCTGAAGTTGTAGGGGTAGGGAATTAGCTAGTGTTCTTGCGTTTCATAGGTTCTTCAGTTGCCAACTCATCCTGCTTTCAACATGCTGAAAATGTAACTAGACTAGAAATAACTTGACTGTGTGTCTAACAGATGGACATTCCAATGTCATTACATTTACATTACATGACAGAATCATTGTTACTTGCATCTCCGGAATTAACTCCAGTAGTTACTGTAATTCACTTTCATTTTTTTGCTTGACAGTTAAGACTACCATAAAGGCTTATCAGTAATGTTGTGGTTAATGATGATTTTTACTAGTGAGGGGAGGGACTTAAATGACACCTGCCTTCTGTATATTGTAGAATTTAATACTCTGTATGAATTTGCTGCTTTCAGCAGAACTCATAGTTCCTTTAACATTGTTTTTTAATTGTTGAAGATAAATAAAACCAGAGGGAGTTGTGTATGTACCAAGCTGATACTCTTGGTGAAGCACTCCACATTAAATACATAAATAGGTGAGCTACTGTATTTGTTAAGATAGCATACAGAAAACAAACTTGCTCATTCTGTTTAATAAATGCTTCTATTAAAAGCATTGAATACAGCTCTGTAATTTTCACTGTTTACTAAAAAAATAGTATTACTACTCAGGAAGTATTTATGTTTATGTTTTACTAAAATTATTGTTTCAGTAACTTACTGGCCATAGGTGAACTGCTTGGCAGAGCTTAAGCTCAGGAACCAAATCTTGAAAAAACCACCTTCAGTCCTAGTTGTGTAGATTTCTACAGTAAGGCTGCTGTTAAATAGTTTGAAAAATGAGAAAAGCCATAATGTTTAAGAACGCTCTTTAAAATGCTTTTATTAAAAAAGCCCTCAATGGTTGGGTATTAGCTGAAGAACTATCATTTGTAATGTAATCTCAGACTTCACCTAATAGTAGTGTCCACAGGATTACTTAAATGGTAGAAATTTCCAACCAGGAATGTAGTTTACAGAGAGAGGAGCTTGAGAGATGATGCCAGACACTTCATTGACCACTTTACAGTGATGGTGATACTGGAGACATTGACAATCTTATGCTAAAGCTGAGCTGACGTTATTCATGGCTGTCCCAAACGCGTTATTGTGAGGGTGATCTGAAGGGGCTGTATAGTACTTCAGGTCTGAGTAGTGCAGTGTCTTCCTGTGAGCTCTCATAATCCTGTTCGTACCATGGCAACGCAAAATACTTGATATTCTCCAAACAGTCTAGGGAGGCTCATCAGCCAAGTCACGCTGATCGAAGTACCTGGTGGTGAGAAGTGGAACATGGTAAGAAACCTCTAATGCAACGTTCTCCTTAACTCTGCTCTGAGTTGTTAGACCCCTTGCTTTTTAGTTCTTCTTTTAGTGTTTCTAGTGTTGCAGTTCACGGGGCTCATCTGAGGAAACCAATAAGCTCACTTTATTCTTAGGTTTATCTGAAGTCCTTTTAGCTAAGTATGTTTGCTACATAGACCCAGGGTACTTTAATTGACTTCCACGTTAAATGATCTAGATTAGGACAGGAGTAATCACACATTTATTCTGGACATACTTTACTGGTTCAGGTATGTAAGTTGTATTACCTGCTAACTAAGCAGATTATCAAGTTCAGAGCTGATATTTGTTCCTCATTCTTGTTCTCCTGAAAGAGAAATAAATACTATAACAGTTCTTTTGTTACCAGTGTCAAATAGAAAAGCTGTAACGTGCCATGCTACGTGCCTGTACTATTCCCTTCATTCCCAAGCAAACTTAGGACAAATGTTCAAAATGTACCAAGACTTCAAGAACTGAAAAATCATCCTTCTAATATTTGCTAAATTCAGCAAGTCCTTTGCCCCATGTTATATTAAATCTTACCTCTAGTACTCTGACTTCTGAGCATCGTCTTGCCAGCTGCCGAATAAGGGAGTGAGCTTCAGGTAGCAAAGGTTTTTCAAGGCACGCCAACAGCGCGTAGAGCCATCTGCCCTGCGTGGATTCAAATAACAAATTTAGAATATGAGCATTTCCTTTAAGTTTCGTGCAGTCTTTGTTATATTGAGCAGGCCTGGAGCGGAGGTCTCAAACAAAATTGCATTTAAGTGCTACTGCCCAAATTGAAAAGTTTGAAAGCCAAATTAGAGACTACACAGTGGAACTTTGTGCCTCTAGGTAAGCTTCTTGTGAGCAGTACTCCTGGATTTCCTCATATTTTTTTGAATATTGGCCAAGATATAAATTAACACAGCTTACACTATTAAAGTCTGAGGGAAGGATTATTTTGGTAATATCTTAATATTATTACTTAGCTATTAATTTTTAACTTCATAAACTGTGGAAAGACATTCCTGAAGCGTGAATGTATCAAGTCAGATCTTTGTGGCATGAATGCTGTTAGATCAACTTTAAAAATTGCACCACTGTGAAAATGTGTCCTTTGCATTTTACTTCACTGAATGCTACTGCAGAACTTTCTGCTACCAGTGTAACTTCCTAATTTAATTCCAGTGTCTAATGGCTTTTGTTATGGGAATAAACTACAAGTCAGCGTGCATATTCTCTGCAGCATATTGGTTAAAAAGAAAACAGTCCTACAGAAAGGGACAGAACACGAAAGGCCTTTAAGAGACTCAAAAGTAGTGACACCTTAAACTGGGCAGAACCAAAGCTGCTGCAGTCTGAGCCTCTTCTCTCCCCAGCGCCGATGCTCGTCTAAACTCGTGGCTTGAGTCAGTGTGGAGAGCACAAGGGTAGGGGGTTTTGGCAGTACTTGATAGATCTGTACCTGTTATGTTTTGTAATTAGCCTTCAGAAAAGTTCTGTGAATACTTTAGTACCAAATCAAGAAAGTTTTGAAAGTAACTGAATGATACATGCATCTAGAGAACTCTTTAGAAAGTAAAAAATAATTTCATGGAAAACTATGAGCAATTTATCCCTTGTTTAATGCATTCACGTGCAAGTAGTTAGAATAAATGAAAAATTACCAGTTCAGGAGTAAACTTTTTCTCTCCAAACCAGCTTATCAGGTAT